GGTCCCCCGTTTCCTTCTGGAGAGGGCCTACATTTTCCCTAGATCTCTTTTTATCACTGACATGTCTATAGAAGTTTTTCTTGTTGCCCTTGATGTCCCTGGCCAGATTTAACTCTATCAGGGCTTTGGCTTTCCTAACCTGATCTCTGGTTGCTCGGACAATTGCTCTGTATTCTTCCCAGGCTCCTTGTCCTTGTTTCCACCCTCTGTAGGCTTCTTTTTTTGTGTTCGAGCTTCCTTTTTGTGTTCAAAGTAAATGATAATGATTGTGAATTGTGGGGATTTGGGGTACAGTTGTTTTTAGTAAGAGTCCGGTGGTTTTCCTGAAGTACTCGAATATATCATGTGAACATTTCAGAAATCTAAAGTCCTAAAATTATAAATAGGGAAGTTTTCATGTGCGTTGCAGGTGTTGCTGAGGTGCTGTGACAGAGCCCCATGTCTCTGTAATATGGATGTGAGTGGGTTGGTTTGTGCCTCTCACAGCTTCTGTCCAAATTTTTGATTTGATTGTGTGTGTGTTCCTGAAACAATAAACAAACATGACCACTACTTTTTTTTTTTTTTTTTTTACAAAAAATGAACATGTTTTCTTAATTCTTTCCGTTTCTGAAAGAAGAGGAGACAAAAGAGGCTCCCATGGCTGAAGGGGAGGAGGAAGAAGACAGTGATGACGATGTTGAACCGATTGCGGAATTCAGATTTGTACCTAACGACAAATCAGCCCGTAAGTGAAACAGGAAATCGCATTTCAGGTTCAAGTCCTGCCTGTATGTGGAGACATCTCTGGTGTAGAGATGGAAATGATGTCATCCTGTGGTATCCTTCTCTAATTACTTGCTTTCCGTAATCAAAAACAAAGCAAATTGTTTTATCTTGCTTGAAACTAGAATATTTCAAGCAGCTACTTCTCAAGGAAAATTCCAGCGTTTTAAAATAGAGATTTTTGAGTAAACACACGACACAGGTAATCTTATCTATAGACATTTGCAGAGAACTTATACGGGAAACATCTTCTTAATTGCAAATTCAGTGATGTTTGAGTCAGCAATGATTTCATTAGGAACATGCCGATGTCCAGACACTGCTGCTGGAAAGCAGTCGTATCCCATCCGATGCAGAGCTTCCAGCTGGATCCGTGTGTTCAGAATCTTGCATTTAGATGCTGCAGAGAATCCTGTAGTGGGTAACCACAGACTGAATCGTCCAGAGATGAGCCTTCATCATCAGTGAAGTAGTGGAAAAGTGCTGTTAGGAGGGTAAAGCACCAGGCTGGATCTAGGAAACCCAGTTTGTTTCTTATGTGGCTGCTGGCTTGTTGGATGATGAAGGCTGCTTGTTGCAGCCCTCCAGTACCTAAAGGGGCCCTACAGGAAAGCTGGAGAGGGACTTTTGACAAGGATGTGTAGTGATAGAACATGGGGCAATGGATTTAAACTGAAAGGGGGGAGATTTAGATTAGAGAGAAGGAAGAAATTTTTCACTCAGAGGGTGGTGAGGCACTGGCACAGGTTGCCCAGAGAAGTTGTGGCTGCCCCATCCCTGGAAGTGTTCAAGGCCAGGTTGGATGGGGCTTTGGGCAACCTGGTGTAGTGGAAGGTGTCCCTGCCCATGGCAGGGGGGTTGGAACTAGATGATCTTTGAGGTCCCTTCCAACCCAAACCATTCTGTGATTCTGTGATATTTTCAGATGTGAATTCAGTGGCGGTTCTGGTAAAGGGATATTCTCAGTCTCTCAGGTGACTCAGTGCAGGATTTCGTGCCTGTTGTTGTGGGGTGTTGGTGGAGAAACGAGGGAGGTTTGTGTTCCCTTGTGTTCCTGCAGTGGAGGCCATGTTTTCAGCCATGTGTGACTGCCAGGCTCTGCACCCCGACCCAGACGACGAAGATTCAGACAATGATTACGAAGGGGAGGAGTACGACGTTGAGGCTCGCGGTTCGTAACAGTTCTTTCTTTTGAAATTCCTACCAGCACTTGGATACCCGGATCTTCTCCTGCGATATCTGTCATGGGAATGGCTTAGTCTGTGAAAGCGTTCCTTGTCATCTCGCCCAAACATTCTTTATGCCATGGGCACAGTATGAAAACTCAGAAGTCTGTAATTTAGCTGTCACAAATCACTGGAATTCAGCAAAAACGCTGCTCATGTTCTCCAAAAGCCCCAAGACACAAATATCAGCCTGTCCTGTTCCCGGGGGATGTGCTAGCACAAGTTCCGTGTATATATTCTGTAACTGGTGTAAACAGCCTTCTCATCCCAGTTAATCTGAGCATAACTCGCCTAGCTGCTGCGTTCCTCCACCTCTGCTTGATCCAGGCTCCTAAACTCAGGTCGAGGGAGGGGATTCTGCCCCTCT